TGTGTGTGTGTGTGTGTGTGTGTGTGTGTGTGTGTGTGTGTGTGTGTAGGGTGGGCTTTGTTCGTCTGACCTAGTTAAGCTGGTTACTTTGTCCTCCCACTCTGCTCATAATGGGACACACACACACACACACTGAGGACCGTTTCCTACTGAAGGAACCGTCCTGGTGAAAATGTTCACCGCTGTGTCTGAGTAACTCTCTCTGTGTTTCAGCGCTGTGGACCTTCATTATATTGTGATGGCGGCAAAAGTCTCAGAAACGGATTTCCTAGAATCTCATCAAATTTAACCTTTAAATGTGTTTTCTTACAAAAGGATGAGGCCTGATCTAGATTTACATCACACGGAGTGGAAAACAACGCACACATGCACTCACACTCCCTCACTGAGTCCTTGTCTGTTGCAATGTGTGTCAGATTATTATTATTATTATTATTATTATTATTATTATTATTATTATGGGCTGTCTGCTGGCCAGGGGGAGGCAGGTCTGGATCTGATTAACATACCTTTCACTGGGCCAAAGGTCTGTGTTACTGTGAGGGTGAACACTTTATATACCTCATATTTCTGTAAACAAATTAAAAATTATAGTTAAAAAATGAACTTTTTTGAGCTTCGAAGCGACAAGAGTAAATTCTAATAAAAGTAGCTAAAGATCTGTCCCTCAGATGTTTGTATTATAGCGGCTAAATTGCTGAGTTTGCAGCAATTTACTTTCTTCCGTGTGTTGTAGATGTTTCTTCCAACAGACATTGCACATCTGCAGACAAACCCATCATCATTTAAAATACGCTATATCCGTTATTCAGAAGTCCTGTTCATGTATTTTTGTGTGTGCATCCATCATTGCATCCAAACAGGAACCACAACGGCTCACTCGGCAAAGTTCTACAAATTCACTGCGTCAGCAGAGTGGAAAATAACTTCCTCTTACTGAGTCTATCTGCTCCATCAGCACCTTTTGGCAGGTGACCAGACATGATTTGGTCTTTTTAATATGCTGTGTACTGAAGCATCTTTGTGCCTCTCCGGTGAAATGTTCCTGAAGTGATTTGCGATACTAAATGATTTGTTTTATTGCTGTATTACTGAGCAATTACATATTGAATGAGATTGATGCGATATAAACACTTGTGAATGTGTTGTTTCAGGTGTTGTGCAGTGCTGAAGAAGACTGAGTGAACCATGGCACAGTTCCCCACCACATTCACAGGTCAGTGTGTGTGTGACGGGGAGGAAAAGTGGGTTTAATGACACTTGATGTTTATATTTTACCCTCAGAGTGGAGAGCCAAGATGGCAGCACTTTGCTCCTTTAATCCACAATAATATTCCACGAGTGCATTTAGAAGACACCTCTCGTTGCTGTCGGTGAGAGACTGGATGGGGACAGACAGATGTCCCATCAGGAGGACGACTAGCAGATGGACACAAAGGCAGACAGTTTGAGATTTGTTCAGACTGTAAACAGATGTGTAACTGTTAGCTGGAACATGATTGTTGGCTGGATGAGGACCAGCCACTCAAACCATTGTTTAACCGCTGGTGCATGAAGAGAGGAACTCAAATACACAACTAAGGCTGGATGAGTGCATCACAGCTTAAGCGTTACATCATATTGATACTGTTAATATAGAGTATCTATATATCTATATATATATATAGATATATGGAAAACTGGGCGATTAGTAGAGCAGAAAGGCAAAAAGACGAGCTAATTACTTAATAAGGCCACTGAACCATCGCCATCAGTTATGATGAGTGTCATTACATTAACATGCACTGGGCTTTCTAAGGAAAGACAAAGGTCTCTTAGTCTCTCGTCCACTCGTCCGTGCTGCTCTTTCCTCATCAGTTTCTCAAGAGTTGACACTCAAGTGTCATTTAATAGGAATCTGACAGGAAGTGAAACTCATGACTAACACATTCTTCTCATTCCTGTCTTTTCTCCCTCTGTCTGGCTTTGTTTTGGCCTTTGTGTGTGTGTGTGTGTGTGTGTGTGTGTGTGTGTGTGTGTGTGTGT